AATGTCTCCCTCTTCCCATTGCCTTCAGATGCAGAGGTAGAACTTTCAGTTACCATCTCTGCCTGTGTGCCACCACGTTCTCCACCATGAGGAGAATGGACTAAAGCTCTAAAACCATAAGCAAACCCAAATTAACTGCTTCCCTTTATAAGAGTTGCCATGGTCTTGGTGTCTCCTCACAGCAACAGAACATGACTAAGACATATATGTACACACACATGTACAAACACAAGCACATGCATATGTCTGCATGCACACGTGAACCTCCACTGTTACACAGACATGCATATGTGCACACACATCCATAGGTCTACATGGGCACACAGGCATGCATGTGCACACACACCATTATACGAAAAAGGCAACGTGGAAAATAATACCAACGATACATACATTCTAGCAAATGATGCTCTTTATGTTTTAACATTTCCAGATGTTATATACATGTTTTAAGACGCTGAGGTAGAGGCATTGAGGGATCACAGTAATAAGAGAAGATTAACAGTGTTGATCATGAGAACTTAAGCTTTATCAGTAATGTTTAATTTTTTGTAAATTACAATGCAGTGCCATGTTCGTTGGGCAGTTAGAAGAAAATTCAGGCCTCGGTGGCCTCGGCAGGAGCACAGCTGCCATGGCTAAGATAAATGTCTTGTAGCACTGCTTTCAGTGATGAAGGACCACTAAGACACATGCCACTCAGTGCTTTTTTCGTTTACTTCCTCCTTACTTCAGTATGCCGTATCTCTAACCATGTTCATTCATTTTCAGTGTTAGACAGAAAGACCTCCAGCTTGAGAGGAAATTGGCTGTAGAGTTTTGAAATAAAGTCCAGTGAATTACTACACACTTATTTTTAGGGCAATGGGAAAACTGCCAAGTGGTAAACTCTTTCTGAGAGCACATTAAACAAATACGATGATTGGGGAACTATCTTCTGGAGAGTGTAAACGCTAATTACATGAATTACAGTGGAGGAGATTGTGGGGTAATTTTGTGGACGGCAGAGCATTACTGAGCTTTAAAGATGGGGAAATGCAGTTGGTGGTGGCCACACCGCTACTGCTAGCGAAGGAAAGTCTGATTCTAAGTCAATCTTCTTCATATGATCAACTATTTTCACCAGCTCAAAGAAACACTTTCTTGGTAAAAACGTTGTGACTTCTGTCCTGTTTGCACTATGGCCCTATCCATGGTATTTCTCCTCTAGCTCAACAGTTTCCTAAACTCCCTTGCTTCTGACAGGGAGTCAGTGCTTCAGGGAGTCAGACACTGCGTGAGTCAGTCACTTACCATATATGTAATTAGTTATTAACAGACATTGGTAGCGTGCCCTTTTCTGCGTGTCACCGCTCAAACAGTGGCCAACTGTGTGCACTCTGTTTTGTTGGCCTCTCAGCAGAACCCAGCATAGGGCCTGGACATGACTAGTGTGTGAGCTAATGCGTTTCAGGTAATTCATCCATGAATAATTAATACCCAAGTCAGAATGCTACAGTATTACAAAACAATTACACATGCATCCATGCTTATGTAGTCTTGAGTCTTGTAAATAATGTGTTTCAATTATGTTATAATATTTGTTCAATTCTACTGCATTGAATGTCTACGCTATCAATGTTGTCACATAGTAAACTATCCAAATAATGAGAATGCAGCATAATTAGTTGTGATAACCTGCTCATAAAACAAAATGCTTATTTACTGAATGTCTAGTATTTTTTCTGGTCATTGGGCACACAGAATAAACCAATAAAAGTGTCTCTGTCTTCTGCAGGATCAGGTTGCTGGCCTACATTAGTAGAATTGGCAGGCAACTGTTTTTTATCTCTATGATAGATATTGTGTGATTCCTGACCATGCCCCAGTTCACACTGACTGTCAAAATCTTGGCAAAGAAGTGTAATAGGCTTTTCAACCAACTGGACTCAGCTCAAGAGAAGCCTATTTTCCTCATACATGTTCTCTATTTTCTGAGTGTTATATACTCTCTCTCTTCTCTCTCCCTCCATTTGTCTCTCCCTTCCCTTCCCTTCCCTCCCCTCCCCTTCTCTCTCCTCCCCTCCCCTTCTCTTCCCTTCTCTCTTCTATGGAAAACCAGTAAAATCAATTAAAACCAGTTGTCCTAGGTGCCTCTGTCTCCCACTCAGCCTGGGAGAGGAACCACTCAGAACACTCTCTTGGCACCCAGGTAAGCCTTTTCTTCAGGAAATTTCACCAGATATGAAGTTAATATGATCTAAATTTTTATATTATAGATTTCTGTTCACTCTAGTTTTATTCTCTTCCTCAATATTCATGGTTAGCTTTCTAGATGTTTCCTCACTTGGCAAACATGTTTGACTTTGTTTTCTATTGTTTGAAAGGGAACACTGTGATTGAGGTCTGAGGCCCTGGAACACACCATCTGGGTTTGAATTCTGACTTTACCACTTCCTAACTGTCATGAAAGTAGTTTGATTTCCTCCTGAGTAAAGAGGGCATAACAACTTGCTTCTGTTGTGGGGATGAGAAGAGTCCAGTAGAGACTATGAAACAGTCACTGAGATGTAGCTTCCTACACCTCATTTGCTCCTTATACTTTAAAGCTTCATACTTCACCTGAAGCCTCTCTCATCACTTTGCCAGGGTTACAATTCACATCATTGGTTCTGTTAACTGACCTGCCATTCCTCTTCTGGTCCTCTTGGCTTATACACAGCCCTCCACCATGAACTACTCACAACCAAGCTCAGTAACATCTTCTTCCCCTGCAAACGCCTAGAAGCTTCTGTCTATTCACTTGCATTTAGTCACTGATTCACAATTCACCCAATTCGTAGTGACCTAACTCTCTGTCTTCCCTGAATGTGTGCTTCAAAGTCTCTCCCTGATGCTTAGAAACCTCGTTTACACTTTCGCCAACTGAGCTTCATACCTTCCTGAAGCCTCCAGAAGCCTCCAGATTCATACCTTCTAGAATCCAAAGGATTCTAGAACCTACAAATCCAAGCTCACAGTCTAACAGGATGGCTCAGCAATTTAAGTGCTTGCTATGCAAGCTGGATAGCATTAGTTTGATCTTCAGGACCTATGTAAAAGCAGGAGTAGAGAACTTAATCCACAAATGGTCCTCTGATGTATATTCTCTCTCTCTCTCTCTTTCTCTCTCTCTCTCTCTCTCTCTCTCTCACACACACACACACACACACAGCTCTTAAGCCCCTCCCCTCTGTTCCCACAGGAAAACATATAAATCCTCCCAAATTTCGTGAGTGTTTAGCTGAGTGCATAATGAGAATTTCTTCTATTGAAATGTATCATTTTTGCATATAATATCAGCTTTATCATGAGCTTCTTAAAGATTAAACCATCACCAAGGGCATTCTTTGAATACCGTATGCATGAATTCATTTAATCTGTACCTTAAAATGTATCTGCCATTATTACCCTCATTTTATTTTCAAGAAGAAGAGAAATGAAGTCACGGAAGCATACCTTTAGCATAAATCTAAACAGAAAGCAGACAGTAATTGCCACATGAATGGATTACCCACAGAGTATTATTACCACCTTGCTCTCAGTTCACAAATGATTTGTAAATATCTAGTTTTAGTAGTTACTTGAAAGTATTGCTAAATAAGGGTGCTTCATTTTGCAACTTCATTTTAAAATGGGGTCTTACTAACAACGTCTTTTGAAAGTAAACTGGGATGCCACTGCAAGGACAATGAGAGTTAGATGACCCTCACTCTGTGCATGCACTCCATGGAGTAACTTCTGAGAAGCAGCAGCACATATTGTGGATGCCATCAAGCCTCCACTAACAAGTCCGAAAAGACAAGGTCCTTACTCTTGGATGGTGCCATAGTGGACCCAGGCACCTGAAGTTGAAGGCACTCAATATCACTTAAATAAATTGTTCCTTATTTAAAAAAAAAAAAACTTTCTAAAAGTGAATGAAGGACACATATTTCCACGCAGAGCCCTTCCGGAAGTCACTGAAGTGTGAATGCTCCAGTCCCTCACTGGCTGCTCATGAGTAGAGGGTGTTAGAACTCAGAACCCTGGGAGGCAATGGAGAAGACAGCTGATGGTCAGGTCCTCAGCTTCACCCACAGTCCACCTCAGCACTCCCTGTCAGCTTCTTAGAATATACATTTATCTCCAACATCAAAATGTGACATGATCTCTACATGCATTCTAATCTTCAAAGGCAAACACGTTTGGCTTGGCATTTACCAAGGTGGAGAATTTTTTAAGTGTTTCCATGGAAGATAAAGTTTGAAAGATGCCTTGCAAACTGATGCAAAACTATTGCCTTTGTATGTAACCAAAATGTTCTTTAAAAACGTGCAGGTGTTACTTAAAGCAAGATAATCCTGGGGAAACTGTGTTATGGTGAAGTTCAGGTTGTGCATTTATTTCAAACAACTATTCCTGTCTTCTTGTACACACAAAGCTAGGATAAACAAAAAGACAAACTAAACTTTTGTTTAGAGTTATCATAGAAATATTATGCATTTATGGAAAGGACAAACAGATAATTTTCAATTGTATCATGTGTTCTCCTATGCGTATATACATGTATATGTCATATATTTGTAACTACACGGTGAACATGTAATATATGTATGTCAATGTTTGCACACATATATAAATAGCACACATATGTAATTTAATTACTACAGTGATTTTTTTTTTTTGTACGGTAGATCCATAGGAGCACAGACATCACTAGAGTAAATCTGTATCTTGAGAGGTGAGAATTGCTGAGTGTAGGCGCAGTCCTCATGACTTGAGTGTACTCTACAGTTGAAAGTGTGAGTCACAGGGCGAAAAGTTATAACAGCCAACCACATTCACTTGGCAATAGTAGGCAATGCCCACTGTTAAATGGCACCATCTTTTAAGCTGTAAAGACATGTCGCCGTTTCTTAGAAACAAGGAATAATAAAAATGTACGAAGTGGCCATCGTGACAATGAAACAGAGAGGAAGAACGAGGATTAAGCTGCTTACCTTCCATCGCCCTTTTAAAGAAGACCTTACAGCTCCCGCAGGTAAGGACACCATAGTGACAGCCAGATGCTTCATCCCCACAGATTAAACAGATCTTCTGAGGTAAGGAATCAAAGCCATACTGTGGGCTCTGGCTGGCTTCCGAATCTGGCCTGGACATGCAAAACACACTCCATTTAGTTTTAGGTACACTGCTATATGAAAAAAAGAAAGCTTTTTAAAACTGGCATGGATGAGGCCAAATATTTTTTTAAATACAACCATAGTATATATTTATATTTTTTTCTTGTTTGTGTTTTAGTGTTTTGATAAAGGTCTCATGTAGCTAGGTTGGCTTTAAACTTGCTACATATCAGAGCCTGGCCTTGAACTCATAAACACCCAGCTTCCAAGTGCTGGGAACAGAGGCATTTGCCGCATGCCCAGTTTATGGGGTGCTGGGAATGGAACCCTGGACTTAATGTATGATAGGTAAGCAACCTTTCTAGGAGCTGATCCCAGGACCATATACATACAAACATACACACATGTGCATATGCATACAGACATATTTGAAAGTCAGGGAGCTAAACTTGATACTTGATATCATAAACTACCTATAGTGGATTTATTGGACATGCAAATTATTAGCCACTCATTAGCAATAATAAAAGGAAAGTCAATGCAGCCTTTCAGCTTAAAAAAAGCTAGAAACTCTTATTTAAAGAGAGCTCCTTATACAGAGGTGATTTTTGTCTTCGGTGGATGAAATATGACATCCTTCCTGAACACTGGGTCACAATAAATATGGCTGCGCTTCAGGAGTTTAACTGGACTTAACAGCGGTTCCGCTTTGTGAACTCAGCCCCTGGAAGATTGATTGCTCCGGCAAATAAATATACATGCTATTTTAAGGCACTGTTAACGCGCTGGCATTGTTTTGCCTAGTCACAGCAGGTGAGACTACAAGCCCTGAGTGTTTTTTCCCCTCACGTTCCGTTATGTCAGTACGTGAGGTCAAATGTTCTTGGAAACACGTCTGAAGAGAGTAAGGGTATCTGAAACACTATGAACGCTCGTGTTCTCCCCGCACTGTGCACTGCCTTCGATGCCTTAAACCCACGTTCAAACCTTCCCTCCTGCAGTTTACTGCACTCTAGGAAAACTGGGCCAGAGATCTGCGCAGACCGCTGAGGTGTTTCTGATTTCAGTTCTGAAGCCTCATTTAAGCTCCACCCCTTCCAGAGGATCTGGGCTTCAGCGCCCCAGCCTCTGCAATACGCACACACATTCCGGGTCAATGCCCTTCTCACAAGTACCTGTACCAAAGCCCCCAACCCATCCTTGACTCAATCAAAGGTCTTACAGTGTGGCCTCAGGTTTTGAACCAGGCTGGTCCCGCTTCAGAAAGTTTTCAGACAACGTTTGGAAGAAGGGTGCAGAACAAAGTGGAATATTTGCACCCCGTTTTCCCATCAGTCAATTCATTCACTTTACACCCTAATAGCAGCCCTCTCCCTCCGCTCCTCCCTCCGCTCCTCCCTCGCCCACTTCACATCTCTTCCCTTCATTCCCCCTCCCCTCTTCTCAGGGAAGGGGAGCCCCCCTTGTGTACCAACCCACCCTGGCACATCAAGTCATCTGTACCCCTTCTTAGCCCCCCCCAAATAATTTGAGAAGGGAGGCACTGGCTAGTGGGTGTCTGGTCCCCAAGGCCCAGGCCTCCTGCGGCAACCCAGCTCCCAGGAGTGGCAGGACGAGCTGAGCAGGACAGGGCTGGCTGCGTGTGTGTACTCACCTCAGGTAGTTGAGGTAAGGCGGGTAGACCTGGGGCAGGCTGTCCTTGAGCACCGCGGTCTGGTAGCCCAGCTGCGGCAGCCCGTTGAGGCCGAGTGGCGGGTAGATGGCGGATGCTGCAGCGGCCCCGGGGGCGGCGGGCACGTTGTCCCGCGGGAGCAGGCAGGAGCCGGCGGCCGGGGGCTTGCAGGGCAGCGGCGGGAAGGCGCCCTGCGTGGGCGGCGCGGCGCCCTCCGCCTTGTACAGGATGCACTCCAGCGCGGACCCCGAGGAGGGCGAGGGCGACCCCGCCGCGCTGCCGGGGCCGCCGGCCACCGCCGCCTCCCCGGGCCTGGAGGACGGCGCTCGCGGCGGCGCCGGCGCCAGCGGGAAATCTGGGAAGGTGGCGGCGCCGGCTCCGGCCAACAGGTAGGAGCGCGGCGAGCGCGCAGCCGCCTCCGCGCCTTCCTCTTCCTCCTTGATCTTCAAGCCCGGCGGCTGGAAGTCGCCGTACAGAGGGAACGCGTCGTCTTTGGGCTCGCCGTCTGGAGGGTAGGTGCAGTCCGGGAAGTCGCCGCAGGGCACCGGCGGAGAGGGCGCGGACGGCGAGCCCCGAGGAGGGCCAAAGGCGCCCTGGGCCGAGGCCCCGCCGTCGTAGCCGTCCCCCTCCAGCAGCTGCCGGGTGCGGGCGGCCAGGAGAGGGTGGTTGAGAGGCAGGATGGGCACCTGGATGAAATCCACCACTGTGGTGGCCAGTGGGGAGCGCCCGGGCGCCGCCGCGGAGTCTTGCTCCAAGGAGACCCTGGGGGCGGAAAACCGGGAGTCCTCCTTGGGGACCAGGGCGACGCCTCCCGGAGCCGCCGCGGGCGCGCTGGCTGCGACTCCGCCGCCGCTGCCTGCGCCTTCCGGGGCTCGAGGCTTGCTCTTCAGAAGTGGAGCCGCGGAGCCCTCGGTCTCCAGGCCCCCGTCCTCCTCCACCTCCACCGCGGCCGGCAGAGGGAGCGGCTTCACCGCGGGCCCTGACCAGGGCGCACCCCCTGAGGCCGGGAGCAGCCCATGCTGAGGGGGTGACAGCCCCTTCGGCAGCATCTTCTGCCCGGCTCCTGATCCGGAGCTGTCGCCGGCCTCTCTCTCTGGCCGGTTCATGAGCGGGGACAGCAACCCCTTGGTAGCGGGAACGCTGCGGGGTTCTTCTGGAAGCTCCGGCCCAAAGAGACACCAAGGAGTGATGGCCTCGCAGGTTGGGGGGCTGGTGTGACCCTGCTTGGTCCCCGAGGGCGTCAGCAGCGTGTCTAAGACACTGTCTAAGAGTCTGCTGTCCTTCTCGGAGGCTCTGGGATTGCTGCCTCCTGCCCCACGAGCGGCTCCGACTCCGGAGAACGCTCCCTCCACGTCGGACAGCGACGGCTGCCCCGGTGTCTTTCCGTCTAGGAGCTCAGGCCCCTGGCAGGACCTAGGGAAGAGCAGCCCTTCCAGGGAGATCTGTAAAGGCGAGACTACAGACGATGCGGACGCGTCCGAGGGCTGACTTCCCTGGAAGGGACCGGGTTCCAGCCGTCCAAGCAAGGGGGACCCGACGTGGGTGGGGGAGGGTGCGGTGCCCGTCGCGTGGGGAGCCCGAGGATCCTTTGCCTGCAGCTCAGTCATGATGACCCGGGATCCCCTTTTCTCCTCCCCTATCTCCAGGGAGGAGGGAAAAAGGAAGGAGGAGGGGTGCCGGTGATATAGGGGCAGGGGGAGGGGGGAAGGGGGTGTTGAATCTCAGGACCCGTCGGATCTCCACCTCCTGGTCGGGAGGGGCGGTGTTGGTCAGCTCCGGTCCTTACCCTCCACCCAGACGCAGAGGAAGGGTGGCAGTCGAGTTGTCCCGGCGGTGGGGTGAGGGCAGGAAGAAGTAGCTGGAGCGAGTTGGTCTCTGAACTGGGAGAGTTCTTCAAGAGACTTTTTACGTGCCTGTCCGTGGGTGGGAGACACAGGGTCCTCACCCGTCCCGCACTGGAGTGGCAGGTGCTGCCTGAAGGACTCCTGTTATCTCCGGGCTTGTTCCATTGGTTGAAACCTAGGCATCTTAGGACGTTTGCGTTACAGCCTCCGCTGAAAAGCCTGGGACTAGTTGGACCTTTTAGATGTAGCGCGTTCTTTGCTGCTCTCCTGCTGCAGCAGTCCCTAAAGCTCCCTGGGTTCTCTACAGTCCCCGCGGTCTCTGGTAGCAGGTTGCTCTGGTACAGCTAAGAGAATCAAGTTCCCTATGGGCTTGCTACCGAAACAGCAGAATCCTCCTCACACTTGTAAATACTACAAAGCCTGACTGATAGTGACAGTCTAGACTGGCTCCATACCTTCCTAGCGAGCCTCTGCTCTCTAGGAAGGCCCGCCCAAAGCCCCTCCCTAACCAATCACTGGCTAGATCCAAAGCTCGGTAGCATGTCTGCTACCCACTAGTCTGATATCAGATGCTTTCAGAAGAAATCTCCTAAGCATATCAGATTTTATACCGTCCGTTCAGGAGTATGGCAGTCCCGGTGGGGAGAAAAAATTATACCCTATCAAAAGCAAAACTGTTGTAAGGATTTCAGGATTTGGAATTTGTAAAGAATCAACACAGACAATGACATCTGGTGACATTATCTTTTAAAATGACCCTGTAGAAAATGAACCCAAATATTTTAATTTTTATTATGAGTCTATGTCTCTGTGAGTGTACGTCACATGTTTACTCAGAGGCCAGTAGAGTGGGTGTGAGCTCTTAGAGTTGAAGTTACAGGGGCTTGCGAGAGGTCTGACAGGGGTGCTGAGAAGCAAGCTGGGCTCCTCTGAAAGAGCAGCTTGTGTTATATGTGTGAGCACGTGCATGTGACTTGGTGCATATGGTGTTCGAGACCAGCCCCAGAGAGTGGATCTCCTCCTTCTGCCATGTGGGCTCTGGAGACAGAACTCATCCTGAGTTTGGCACCAACCTCTGGCTGCCTGTCCAACCTGCCCCTAAACATTAACACCTTCAAAGTATTCTTGTGACAAGTGGGTCACACTCCTTTTAAGAGCCACGGATGTGACTTGACAGTTAAGGATGGAAGACAGTTGGTAACACATCTCTGGCTGTATGGGGAGTTTGGATGCTGAGTGTCATGTTTGGTTTGCATGAATACATCTCTCTATCTTCAGCCCCAATTAAATACCCTGCATCATACCTTAAGATCTCCAGGGGGAAGCTAAACACTATTTTCCCCCTCAATGTTTCTCTACCCTTAAGAATAATTATCATTGAGCGTTAAAATAAATCACTTTTAAATGCACAGAAACAGCGTGGAGGGGAGAGAATAGTACAATAGATTCCGTATGCAGTCATAAGCTAATAGTGTCCATGCTGAACCCAAGATTGGTAGACATCTTGACACTGTCCTAAATGTGCCCTATTCAAAACTAAGCTAGTGGTTTGGAAATTTTTCCTTGAGTGTGTCCAGGTTCCACTTACGCTGATGTATTACAGGTCTAGAAGATAAGTGGAAAACTCCAAAACTCTCAGGCAGGTGGGGCTGCTAGAGGAAAAGGTGTCTGAATTCCTGAATCACCAGGGAGGCACGCTGTATGAGAAGTAAATCTTTTGCATTGAACCACTGAGTTTGGGCGTTGACTCTTCCAGCAATGAGTTATCGCTGACTAATTTTAGATGTGTGAGAATTAGGGAGGTAGAGGAGAATTCAAGGAAGCAGTTATTGTATGTTCCTAAGGCATCAAATGATAAAATGGAGTGTGGGAAATGCAGGGGGGCATGAGGAGCAGTGCATAGAGTAAGCGTGGGAAGGAAAGAAACGGCCACCAGCCAGCCTCCTCTATGTGCATATGTATTTATAATGTATATCGGGAACCTTGACCACAAAGTGAGGCATAGAATGTCTTCAAAAGCGGAGTCATTCCCTTTAAAATCTTTGTATAATGTCCTTTCCCATCTCGTCCTTCCAACATCACCACCCAGCCCACTAACCAATGATCTGCCTTCTGTCCCTGTATACTAGGACTTCTAAAGATTTCTGTCTGGTTTACTAAATATTCTGTTACATTATTCTCTATGTCTTCAATGTAAGTGTTTTTAAGACTTTGTATTAGTAGGCATTCCTTTTCAGAATTTCAGTTTTAGATTTATAGCAAAATCTACCAAAGGATAAGGAGTAGCCTGAGTTCTCTGTGAAGCTTCCTGTACGCTAGTACTGAATGTATGTTGCTGCTAGTGAGCTCAGGCTAGCGCATGGCTGTTAGCTAATGCGCTGGGGCATATGCAGTTTTCTTCTAATATCCATTTCCCCCAAGATTTTCTCATCGGGGACACCTTGTTTCATTGTTGTTATGGCTTCCCAGGTTCTTCTGGGCTATGATGGCTTCTCAGAGTCCTTTGTATTTTATGTCCTTGGCGCTCCTGAGAACTCTTGTCAGGTGACATTCTCCAAGCAGTCACGGCTCATGGGTTTGGGAAAGAAAATTAAAGCTGTCAAGTGCTGTTTTTACTTCCTTGCATAAAGGTTCACACTGCACAGGACTTACAGTGTGCCGCTGGCCCCGGGCAGCTGTGTGAAGCGGTGTTTCTCAGGGCCCTCCACTTGGATATTAGTTCCACCCTCTGGAAGGAAGTCACTGTGAGCCATTTGTGGGAGTGTGTGGTGGGAGGAAGAAGTTATGTTCTCTTCTCCAAGGTAGAGTAACTAACTGAAAGCTTTGTTTGTAATTCTGCCTGGGGAGCACCCTTCACTGCTATTACTACTTTATTCTGTCTTTGGGTATACCACATTTTGTTCCTCAGGTTCATTTTTTCAGCTTTGGGTGTTGGGGGCTCCTTTTGTTGTTCTGTGTTAGGTTGACATACTTCACTTTTGTGTATGGTAAAGATGGGTGGAAGTGGGGTGAGGGGTTTTGAGCACTTTTTGGGTTCTCTGGGGTTACAAGCTTCTCCGGATATTTTTTGCTTTCCACAGGTACCTTCCTGGAATCAGCCATTTTCCCTGGAAGTTCAGTCCATTTATTTGAAAAAGAACTATGGTATTAGAAATGAAGATTTCCTCTTCAGTTTATTTAATATGCTCTTCTTATATTTTTGTATAATACTTTGAGTCTCAACCCTATTGTAGCATTTATCAGTAGTTTACTTTCTGCTGCTGAGTAGAAATCCAATTAATGAATATACCATGGTTTGTTTGCCTATGTCCCTGCTGATAAACAGTTGTATAGTTTTACTAGAAATTTACTACCAAAATGCATATGCCCGTCTCTGTATACATATGTTTTAATTTTTCTTAGATAAGTATTTAGAAGCAAAGTGGCTAGATATATTCAAGTCTTCAGTGGTCTGCTTGTGAAATTCACAGACTTCATACATTGATGCATTCATACTTCATGCGTTGCCACGGTGATGATCCTTGGAGGTGGGGCTTTTGGGAGGGTGGTGTTGCCTAGTTGTCTAGTCCCTCCTACCCCACTGGGAAACAGAAAGAAGTAAGTACCATCTGTGAACCAGAGAGAAGAATTTCACAAGAAATTGAATCTGCCACTTTGATGACGCCATGATCTGTGCAAGATAACTTCCTGTTGTATCTGAGCCACCCGGTGAACACATGGTGTTTTATTATAGCAGCCCAGTGGACCGACACTGTAGCTGCGCACACAACTGTCAAACCCCCTTCCACAGGGACTGCACCAGTTTTCATTCTCCCTAGGGTGTGGGAGTTCTAATAATGCCGTAACCTGAAAAACAGTTGGTCAGTATTTTTATTATTATTATTATTATTTCAGCAAATTTAAGAAGTGTGTGATGGAATCTTAGTGGAGTTTTGGTTTTGCTCTAGAGGTTTATGGTAGTCACTTTCTTTCCCTTTGTTTTCTGTATATCTTCTTCCACATTATCTCTGGGTATGATCACATTTTTTTTATTGGCTTTAAAAATCATTTGCTTAAAATGCTGAGGATAAGTGACAGACGGTTTCTGGTATGAATGGGGGATGGGCTCATAAGACCTTTTGCATGTGGGTAGCACCCATTGAGTGCCACACTTCTTTGCTTTCAAATGCTCACTGCAATGACTCCTTGGTCTGGTCCAAGGCCCTTGGCTTTTGCTACTCTGTCAATACTGCATCCTCCCTGGGACTCACTCTGCTTGGATATCCTGTTGTTGCCCTGTGTCATGGAGGTCCTATAGACTTGGATCTGTAAGACTAGCCTTTTCATGCACTTCAGAAGTTCATCAATGGGGTAGGCGTCTGGGTGGGCCAACCCAGAGCCTTGGATCTGGGCCTGAGAGGTGTGTAAGCTGGTCAGCCCACTGGCTCTCTCATTCTCATGGCCCAGGGTCTGGCTCACCAGCAACTCCTGAAACCAGGGCCAGCTCTACCCTGCTGCCCAGGGGAGGTGAAGGGTCCGCTCTCCCAAATGATGCAGCAGATGAAGAATGTGGCCAATTCTCCCATTCTTATAACCTCAGGGCCAGCTTTCCTGTCTGCCATAGATGGCAAGGGACAAGAGGGAAGAAAAAGGTTTCTCTCTCTCTCTCTCTCTCTCTCTCTCTCTCTCCCTCTCTCTCTCATTTGCACCATCACCCAGACAAGAGGCAGGGCCAGCTCTCTCACAATCATGCCCTGTGGGACAGGTCTCCCTGTCTGGTGACT